TAGTAATTTTGCAGTCTTAACATGATCTACTACCGTGCAAAAAGTTCAGCTAAATGTGTTTATTCTTAATCTAACCATTCCACTTGAAATAATCATAGGATAAATATTTAACATAACAGAGAACTAACCATTCCATTGTAATGATGATGCCTCAGGAAATTAAGCAGAGGATAAAGGCTCTCCTTATCATGGAACAATTTGGAGGAAAGATGCCGATTCAGAAACTGCACACCATTACCAATGGATTTTGAAAGCGAGGGGCGAGGGAAAGAAGCATTGAAAGGCTCAAAGTCCAGCTCTAGAGTAAAGTTGCTCTGAGATCTGGAAGAAGAAAGAACTAACTTAGTTTAACTTATAATCTACAAACCTTGACAAAGATCCATGAAATTTGAGAACCAACCTCCCATCAACCAACTCTTCCTTGAACTGTAAGTACTCAGGCACGCTCAGCTCCTCCACAGCCAATTCACTCACATTAACCCTCACATATTCCCACACTCCAGGCCTTGGTCGGATGGCCAGTGCCACCCATGGAGGTACAATTATGGCCTCCTGTAAAACATGCAAAGAATGATGCGGATAATCAACAGAAAGTGACAAACTTTCACACAAAACACTTGAGAAAGGGCAGAAATGAACATCCATAGATCGAACCTGAGCAGCTTTGAGAACATCTTCTAAGACACCATCTTTGAGCTTCTGGCGATCTGCTTCAGGAATCACTGAATCATACTCAGCCAAAATCTGGTGGGGTTGTAACATCCCTTTCCCTTGTTTGACAAACCTACACGATTCAACTCTCTGCATGAAATTACTTCAACTAAAACTTATCATGCAGATTCAATTGTTTTTAGACAGCAAAAAAAAAGTTTTTTTTAAAATGATTAAGCTATTATTACTCATTGGCGACTCATGCGTATGAGATAAATTCATGAATATAATATTAATGATGATGATAACAGTGAAACAGGAATAGAAAAGGGAAAAGAACTCAGTACCTTGAGAAGAGGGCAAGCAACTCATTTGTGTGAGCTGAAAGAGTGTCTCCAAGCCGCTCACGAACGCTATGAACGCGGCCCAAAAATCTATTATCAGACATGGCTCCTCTCCTCCTCCTTTACAGATTCAGAAGAACTAAACTACATATTAAAATAGAAAGTACAACAACAGTTTGTCAAAAATCTCAAGCAATATCTATGAAAGTTCAGATCTTTGACTTGGCAACAAAGCTCACGAACATCTACATAAGAACTATCAAAGTAAAGAGTTTCATAAACCTCATGTCAGCAGAGATCATCGTGCATGGCAAGTGAAGCAAACAGATATTTTATAAACTAGAAGACTAACCGGATCTAATCTCAAACGAACAAATTTGGGTAGATCTTAAGCAAGAATCCTGTTTTATATAATTTTTTTAATATAATTTATAATTCAGAGATGGCCAGGAACAATTAAACCGGTTCCAGAAAACAACGACTGAGGTCTCGGCCACCTAGTAATAGGTGCCCGGCCACGTTTTACTAAAGATAAGGTGGGAAAAAAGGTCACGTACCGAGGGAGAAATCAAAACGTGATATTTTTTGCCAAAAAAATAAATTTTTTTTCTGGGAAGGACGGATCTTTCGGAGTTTACTGAGCCATGACACACAAGAAAATCCTCAGCATGATATGAACTGGCTGAAAAGAACTAAGTTAGAAAGCTGATATTTTTGGGATGACGAAATTTCATTTTAAAAAAATTACTTTTTTGCTACCAACTCAACTTCTCCTGCAAGAAAGATAAACTACTGTGGAATTTTATTGTTTAAAACGTCTAAATATTTTCTTCGCAGAGTGCTTACAGAATGAAATAGAAGGCTGTGGAAATGGAAAATCCAAAAAACCTCCTGAAATCAGGCAAACCTCTTTTTCGTTCAGCAATCAACATAAGGTGCAGTAAAAAGTTGCTAATTTTTTTATCAATTAGTAAATTTCTTCCAAAATCATACACCCTGCGTTCCACAAGAGCAACTGAGCAAGAGCTCCCTGTCTCTCCAGAGACTATATTTTTCATATAAAAAACCGTAATTTTGCCATTAATTTATGTTTAAAATCTCCCCACCATAACTTAAAAGTTCCATCCTTCTTTGGTGTGTTGAAGCTAAGCAGGAATCGCTTAGAAAACCAAGCAAGAACTAATAATCTAAGTTCAAAAGACTTCATTTCTACAGGATTTTCGGCAGAGGAAAGCGACGACCTTTACCTTGCTGAAGACCAAAATGGAGACAATAATGGAGAAAAAGCAGAATGCAATAAGAAAAGAAAACGGAGAGCAAGAAAACGGAGTGAACGGAGTTATGAGCAATGGATGAGAAGAGCTGATCTTGGTCCCTTTAAATACCCGAAAAAAAGATGGATTGGACCTCATTTTTCGACCTGTTAGAGCTCACTAGTTGCTGAATCATCGCTTTCACCACCCAAGAGAGAGAAAATGATCGATATAATCGAGGAAAAAGTTTCTAAAAAAACTTTGTAGAAAATAATGCTTTACGGACATATTCATAATTTAAAAAAAAAAAATCTTCATATTTTGACAATTAAAATAATATTTGACGGTTTATATTTAAGATTCATATATATTTTCAATAAAATACATAATAAATATAATTAATTTAAATATTTAATTTTTCAGCTAGTTGGTATAATGATTTATTCTCATTCTTATGCAATTATTAACATATAATTGATTAATTGCTTTAGCTATTACTATTTTTTGTCTAAGGTTTTGTTTGGAAGGGCTTTCTTACTTGCTTTATAAAGCAGTTTTTTAGTACAAAATTTTTAATGTTTGTACTAGAAAGCTGCTTTTATAAGCAGTAAAAAGTCACCACAAACGATGCCTAAGTCTTGTTCTGCTTTTTTTTAAAGAAAAATTAATCATATTTTATGAAGGTATATATAAAAAAATATTTATCTATATTTCATGAGAATATATTTGTAATCATATTATTTCCCTATTATCATATAATTAATGGCATATAATTGATATATTATTATTTCCATTTCTATTTCTCTTCAATTAACACTTGCCTAAGTGGTCATGTATGCATATACGCAAATAAACTCACTTAAATATATAATTTTTGTTTTGGTATTCTCGTTGCACTAATCTATTGTATTAAAGCTCTTACTCTCTAAGTATTTTCTACATTCTATTTCATCCCTTAGTTTTATTCTTTACTGTCCATCTTAACCCAGGTTTCTACACATTTACTTACTCAGCAGCCTGCTAGTAGGGTCGAATGTCATCCAATGCCAGATCTGGAGTCAATATGGTCGACGAAAATCAAGCACCCAAAAATAGAATGAGAGCTAATCTATAGAAAAAATTTTAAAAGGGGCAAATTTTTGAATAAACTTATTCTATGATTATTTATTTTTATCAAATGCCTAAATTTTCAAAACTCTTATATTTAATTAATTCTACACTCCTAATGCATCCAAATGAATAGACCTTAAACGAAAAATACATTTAAAATTTAAATTTATTAAGATTTTTAATTTTTATGACATATTGTGGGATAACATAACATATTCTAAAATTTCATTCACTCAAAACTCTTATTTTTTTTTTTTTAAATATTATTTAAATAAACAAATTTTTATATAAATTTTCATAAAAAGTATTGCAATAGTCTTGGAAAAATAAAAAGTGCAAAACCGCTCTTCCGTATATAGCCGCTGGTTTTTGCCTATTTGGCTCAACCAAGTGGCTAACGACGCACTTATTCCATAAAATATAATTTAATTTATTTAACTTTGCATATTCAAATTTTATTATGCGTATTATTAAATTTTTAATTCAGCTGATTTTTTTTTTCCAACCCCCTATAAATCCGACCACCTTCCCAGTTTGAGTGGTAGGTGATATGGTCACCCCTTCGCCTGAGTGCAAGAGAATTAACACATTCACAGTTTTATACTAAGATTGTCCATCAAATATTTAGAAAATTCTATTTAAATTCATATTGATTTAAGCCATAATAACTCGGTCTATTCGACTCAATTCAAAGAGAATTTATCTCAAGCAGGTGATTATAATTTATGAACTCGTCCCAATCAGATCAATATGAATTATTAGTCGGTCATAGCGACCACTGTATATGTAGTGATCCTTAGTGACTTCTCAACAAAGAACAACTTCACGAACTTCTTAAGATAAATTATCGATCAACTACTCAACTATTCGACTATCAACATATGTGAAGTTGAAACTTTTGAAGAGCTTGACAAAACATATATAATTATTTAATTTTCTCAGATTTTAGGTATGCATATAATTATTTAAAAAACACTCAAATTCCAATTTACGCCTATAAATAGAGATCAAGGGATGAGCTAAATTTACATATTTATTAAGATCATTGATGCGTCATCAAAACATTATCTTAATCGGCATGAATCTCGATGCAAAATCAAGTTGGAAACTTCCGAAAGTAAAATTGGGACCATCTGAACTCTAATTTCAGCAAACTTATAGTCGAATTGATCGTCTCGAGAATACGAACCCAACGACACCAAATCCAACCCAATCTGAGCCCAAATGAGTCCAAATCAAGGACCATAAGCATTGTTGGAATGTTCGAACCACAATTTGGATTACCAAACGGTTTCCAAACATTACGTGCTTATATTGGATTCGAGTGGCTCAACGAGACAAATCCAACGAGCCCAAGATCGCCGAATTCTGACATCATTAAGACCTTCAAATGTCTGACGAATGGTCCATGATCAAGGAATTCAACATCGGTTGTCCATCAAACCACTCACCATTTACCCTCAATCTCTTACCTATTTATGGGTCATACCACTCCCGAAATCTATAAATAAAGCACTCATTTCTCTTGAAAAAGAGGGATCCAAGCAAGAAGAGAAGGAGAGAAGGAGAAAGTTCCTCCTCGACCACCGCCTGAGTTCCGCCAGACCACCGCCTGTAATCGTTGCTCTGCCGGACCACCACCTGAGGCCCTCACCCTCGCCAGAACACCGCATGAGGCCCTCACCTCCATCGGACCACCGCCTGACGTCGTTGCTCCGCTGGACTACCGCCTGACATCGTTGCTCCGTCGGACCACAACTTTGAGGTCCTAAGCTCCGCTGGACCACCACTGAGGCCCTGTGCTCCACTAGG